CCTGCGGCGCTGAAAAGTATGCTACGGCTGTGACTATGACCAGGGCTGTATTATTATGTGATGTGTGTGTGGGAATGTGTGTGTGGGAGTATGTGCTGGTCCGAGCATGTTGTTGTGTGTGCAAATTAAATTTGCATATGCAGCGCATATTTTCTTTACTGTGGGCAATGCAATAAACAAACACACACAAAAAATACTCCATGGATGATTTTTTATGTATGTTCACAAACTAGCCTTTGAATGGCCCGTGCTTGAGCACCTTTAAATACCTTACCGCAAATTGTGGCTCTAAGTTATTTTTTATTTTATTTTAATTTAAATTTTTGGATTATTTAACGAATCATAATGAACACGCAACCGATACAAGCATTACTATTGAAAGATATAAAAGACTATCCAAAAACCATTCTTCATTCGCCGAATCTTAACCATAAACAATTAAACTTTAGCTTACATATGTATGTATGTGTATGTATATGTATATAAAGTAAATAAGTTTAAATAAATAAATCAATGCGTCCATTAATTTAATCTCCGGGTGGAAACGATGAATTTTCAATTTTTTAATTGCTTGTAAAACATAAATTCCCACGTGCGATAAGAACTTCTTGTGGGCCACTTTTTCTGGTTAATTCAATAAATATTTATTTGTCATTCGTAAACATTATTATTGCTGTGTAAATTATCAAACGATTAATGCAATTGCCAATGGCTGGCAACCTTCGACCTCATCCACACAGTCCCAGTCCCAGCCCCCTTCGCCACAGATCCGCCAGCTGCTCTCTGAGCTCAATGAGGCTAAGCAAACAAACTTGAACAAATAAATTTGGTACGTGCCAGCTATGAGTTATCGCCTTGGGTTGGCTCGGGTTGGGCGTCGGGTGTCGGGGAAACACGGAGAGCATACAAATGGATCGTTGAATAGCCAAAGTACAATGCCAACAATAATAACAATTGCAGCAGCAACAAGCATTTGTCATGTGACAATGGCTAGCAAAAATCTACGAACAAACCAACCAGCCAACCATCCAACCAGCCATTCAGGCCATCCAGCCAACCAACGAAGCCATTTCATGTACCGACCACAGAGATAGCGAGTGTTCCACTGGTCGGTCCACCACATGGTTGGATGCCATATTTTATTTATGGGCACAATTTCGTTGCACAAATTTGCTGCTCTCTCGCCTCTCTCACCTCCCCAACCTGACCTGCTCCGAGCTGTGCTGCGCTGTGCTGCCCGCTTTGCTGTCCAAGTAATAGACCCATAACGGAGATACGTGTTGGCAAATTTGCTTGTTTGCAGCTTAAATTGAATTTATCAACTAAACAAAATTCCGCTGCAGTCCGCTCCACTTGGAAGTCTCTGCATAAAAGCATGCGGTGTGCTGCAAACCAATTTTAACAAGCCTTTTATTTTCGGTTATGTTCAGGTGAAAGAGTTTGCCGGTATTTCTTTTTTTAAGCAGCCCTTTTTGTTGCAATATAATCACAGGGAATTACATTATTATTAAAGTGAGAAGAGTGCCAACAGGTCAGGACCTGGTGCTGAACCATATCCAAATTTCTTTCCATGTGTTTGCTCGTTTGCAATTGTTTATGCTCGACACGTAGCCCTGGACCCGACCAAATGCAATGCAAACTTTTGCACAAATTATCAAATTTTCGCCAGAACACACACACACACACATGCATACGAGAAAACACTGGAAAATAAAGTTATATTTGCCTATGTCGCAGTTTGTTTATGCTCCGGCCCCGAGCTGGGGTCGAGAGCCTGGATTAGAAAAAGGGAGGCGGTGTGGTTAGGCCGCAAATGCAGCAAACAATTGTGTTTTTCTTCAGTAAATAACCGGAAAAGGAAAACGGGCTTTGACACTCTGTGTTTTTTTTTTGTGCCGGACACACTTTGCGGCATTCAAATTTAATTGCCAAAAGCCTGAAGGCGAGGCGCCATGGTGCTGGGAATTTTATCCGTGTGTCGCAACTTGGTTTATTTGATTAAATTATGAATTTTTATTTGCTCAGGATTTGTTGCATACGAGATGATGACAGCAATGCTTTATGGTAAACTCTGTCCAGCATTTATTCATGACATATTTTCCCTCAAAGAAAAATTCGAGGCGCATGCAATATGCAAATGCAGAGATCCTTATCCTTAGCCAGGCAAAAACAAAAATAATTACATTTTAAATGGGAAAACTGTGAATTGTCTTTGCAGTCGAACGAATCCGAATCCTTTTGCGAGTGCTTTACACAAAGGAGACCAAATCTAGCCCATGTTGATTGGCCACAGCGTGACTCGTTTTCCGACCAAAGCATACGGATTTCGGCATCCAGGTGGATTGACAACAGCTTCCGTTGCTTCATTTATATGTTGATGACGAAATTTGAATGCAATCTTAGGCATTGGCCTCCCTCTGGGACGCGCACATCCTTCGCTTCAGCTTGGATTACCTTGCGCCGAACGGCAATTGTACGTGGCCTGACTTGAACTTAAAGAAACGATTGCAATCCTTAGGCTGATGATGACTTTGAAGGGGCTGTGACACGAGGGAGCAACGATAGTCAGTCAGAGAGACACACACAAAAAAACGAAGAGTTCCTCTTTAATCCAAAGCCTTTAAGTACTACTCGCAAGAAAATTATTAAGTAATACTGCAGATATTTATGTACATGTATGCATGCCATATTTATTTCAGCGTTTTCTTTTTAACTTTTTTAAGTCCGAAAAAAGTCTCAGCTTAATAAACTCTAGTGTTCGGACACAAGCTAATTATATTTGTCGTGTGGCCAGCAGCTCATTTGGGTGCCATTGTTGACACGCCTCGCTGTGGCGATTGCACAGTTGCCTGAGAATAAAAAAAAAAAAAGAAAGAAGAGCCGGAAATCTCATTTGTACATGCATATTTAATTTGGAGTACGACACGAGTGCGAATATTACTGGCTGTAGATGCTGTCCCAAGAGCCTGCAATAAAATGTTTTTCAGGCTGCCATAAAGCCCCCGAAACCAGACAGGATCCGCCCCGACCCGCCCCGCTTGAGAAACCAAACGCAATTTCGATGCATGAATGTGCCTGTGCCTTAGTACTTGAAATAGATTTTTAATAGTCCAACTGACATACACAAAAATAAACAGAGCTGGCAAGCTTCTTTTCAATGGCATTGCAGTGCTCCTTTTATGTCGGCATTTGTTTGGCAGTCGAAAGCATTTATGCGATTTTGTCGTTAGAGCAGAACACAAAGATACAGCCACACCCACACGCACTCCCACATATCCACATATGTATTAGAAATGAACGAGTACGAGTGCCTCAGTGTGTGTGTTATGGTATGGCAAATATAAGTTTATGAAAAATGTCATTTGTATGAGCTGCCCAGAAACAGATATGAAGTACGAGTAGTACTTATGAAAACGGAGATGCGAAGCACAGAAAATTTTGCTTTTGTCAAAATGAATTAATGTTTAACTGGCACATTTTTGCTTTTGTTGGTACCCGTACCCATTGAGTTGTTGTATCTGTTCTGCTTGCTGCCATTTTTCGATGTTCTTTTTCTTTGATTGATGCAGTGCGTTTCATAAATGGATACACAAGTTTTAAATGATAAATTAAATATTTAGATACGGCTATAAGTGCCATTGATCACCTGTGAAAATGTACTAATATTTATTTAATATTTGAGTCAAATATAAAAACTAAATCCATGCAAATATCAACTTGATAAATTCAAACTAATTCCAAAGCATTTTCTATGACAATTTTCACACTCTGTGTGATCGATCGCTGAGACTGTAACTTGCAGCAGTTTTTGGTGAAAGTTTTGAGACGCACTGTAGACGTGGAGATTGATGCACTCCGAAATGACCCAAGTAATTTGCTCGGCCAATATTTTGTGGTCCTTTTGGCCATTTAACAGCCGAACAACGAGCTGGCTGGTAATAAAGTGCCAAATAAATGCAATAAAGCTGTTGGAAATTGCTCGTTGCTGTTGGCGTTGTCGGTGGGGTGTGGGTGTGGGTGGAGATGAGTACATAAATGTTTTCTCTTTCCGGCTTTTATTACAAAACACACTCAAAAAACGGCAAATAAAAAATGCAAATAAATAAACGGAGAGCTGCCAAACAATTGAAAACTTCTCCACAATAGAGTTGGGACTTAAGTGCTTACTAAAGGAGCTGCTGCCGAGCAGCATCCAAAGCAGCGGAACAGCCGAATCTGAATGCTTAAAGCGAGTCCTGGGAGGACGGCACCATGGCAGGGTGTGGGTCACAGGATTACAGGCAAATTGCAAAACGTCTTTGCATGTCCTGCTCAAGCAAACACACACACACACACACACTCACAGGCACGGACACGAACACAGGCACACATCCCAGCCAACTAATTTTATTGCTCAACACATTCGTTCTTGGGATATTGCCTGGCTACTGCCTCGAACCTCGTAACCACGACTCCTCTCTCTGCCTTCTCCTGAATATCGTGTGCAAAAATTTTAACAAGAAAATTGTTTGAGTGTTTCGTCTTGAGTGGCCCCGATGAAACCGATGACTGAATGCCCGCTCCGCTCCTTAAATGCCTTTAAGCTTCAAGTCTGTGCACTTCGAGATGACTGGATATGGATTCGCCGCTAGTAATCACCCCGGAGGGGTCAATGTACACCAATCCTTAAAGGGGCGAATTTTAATTTTATTAGCCATCAAGCGAACAAAAACACGTAAGATCGCTGTGGCTGTCTATTCTGACTACCAGACCGGGTGCTCGTATTGGTTTAAATACGAAATGGAGTATCAATAATGGGAAAGTGTACGATAATACGACCAATCTGATAGCAGGGATAATTAGGTAAACATTTTAGGAACAGACTAGACTTAGTGTGAGGCTACAGACGTTTGAACACAATTTAATTTGGAGAGGAATCGAAACCGACTATAATAAGTATGGGAAACAATTCATTCATCCTTTTACTTGCCTCTATAAAATAAAGTAATTTTAGCCTCCAAAATGCTTTTATTATTTCATTAGTTGAAGGGGCTATAACTTCAATCTTTACATTCAAAATGTTAATTAAAAGCAAACCATACAGAATTCGATTCTTTCCTGATCCGATTCTTAAAAAAGATTAAACTGCTACATTAAAAAATTAAAATAATATGTTATGACCACATGGCACATCGTACAGCTGCTTAAATTCAAGCTTCACTGTCGGGTTCGGTTTTTTAAAGAAGTATCAAACAGACAAACTAAAACTTCATTGATTTGTATCCATGTCCCATTGATGTTTATGTTCATGGTCCACTGGCTCCTCCAGATCGCAGCCTGTTGAGGGATCCTGAACAGTCTGGGCGCCAGGGGCTGGCTCGTCTCCCACATCGTTTCCCCCCTTCTCTTTTGGCTTATTTTCGGTGGGTAAGACCCCGAGTGTTTCCAATATCTGAGCAGGGCTCAATGTGCCCGGTGGGTTCATTGCGTTCGATTCTGCCTGTGGTATCATAAGCTGCAAATGTAAAGCTAAGTCTAAGTACAATTTGCAAAGACTAAAGATCGTCGTTTAGTAGCGTGCGGTGAATAGAGACAAAAATTAAGCGCAATGCGCAGCTCTTTTGTGTTAGAGCAGTATAGATAGAGAGCACATTGTGACGTCACGTCATTTGCTCCAGCAGACTATGCCGAGCAGGTAGCGGAGTCGCGGTCCGAAGCGAACGATAGCCTAAAAGAGAATCAACGTACCAAGCAAGCAATGAACCCCGCGCCCCGTCTTTCTTTGTTGTTGTTCGCATGCCCACTGACACACGGATGGTACTCGATAGAGAGCAGATAAATTCAGCGTGCATGGACATGCATGGAACGGTACATATGTACATACATATGTACGTATGCATACACAAACTGAAACAAGATGTAAAGTGTTCGCCTGTCCAACGCTTCAAGCGAAACCGAGCCGGGGGTGTTATAAAACTGCCCGCAGTCTCACAGCTTTGTTTAACTTGATTTGTATAATTTGTATTTGGCACCTACCTTTGCTTGCAGATAATCGAAGCCCATGCAAGCGAAGACCATAGATTTAATCAGAGTATTGCGCACGTCCGTGGCACTTTTCTTCTTGTCCGCACATTGTGTCTCGGCCCTTGCGGCGCTTACTGACTCAGCGCGCCTTATCAAAGGGTTATAATGCTCTATAATGTAAGGGAATTTCAAATAATTTAAATATTTATTAGCACGCAAGGAAAGGGTTTGCTTACGGCTCATTTCTGCGTTAATATCGGAGTTCTGCTCGAGTGATGCTTCGAAATCAGACATGTATTTGTGCACTTCCGGATTTGATTCGCACAAATCAGTTAAAAAACTCACAACAGTTGTATCGGTATTCATTTTGGTTATATTTTACGTTTTCTCGCGAAACTCAAACACGTGTCACTGGGCAATGACGTCGTCGCCACGATTTCTGTTTACTTGCTACTCGCTGCAGTATCGATACTGGCTACGGTAGTGTTGTAAAGCGCCAATTGCTTGTTTACACTGGCGTGTTTACACTGCGTCCCTCCTTTTTGCCAGAGACGCAGCTTTTTTTTACATGTGATATTCGGCTAGCAGAATTTTTAATTCTGTATATATATTAATAGCTATGCTTAATATTATAGCTATGTATAATATTATGAATTTGCTAGCAAGCTATGAGAATGAAACTTATCTTTCATTGGTGAACGTGGATGATCAACGAGAGCAAGGAAGCTGCGAGTACCACTGCAGTGGTTATTGGACACCAAGAAAGCAACAGAGTGGGATGAGTTCCAGTTGGATATTCCAAGTATGTCAAGGCCTTTTCGGAATCGTCTCCAGAGATATAATATAATAATATAATAATAATAATAATATAATATAATATTATGCACACAAAATATTTGATTCTGGTCTCTGAGATCAAAGAGCTTATCAAGAGCTATGTTTTAGGTTATAATTAGATTATAGGTTGACTTCCAGTGGGGCGTATCGTCCAATTAAATATATCGCAGTGCTCTATGATTGCATGGCATAAAAAGTCAAAGAGCTCAAAAGACACCAAATCATAGCAGGTCTAGAAAAAAGACTCAAATCAAATAGAAATAAACAAATTCAGTTGTGAAGTTTTTCTGAGCTGTGAGCTATTCCGAAAATGCCAAAATTCTTTATCAGAAATCAGAATCGCTTCCGCGAAGGCAATGAAGGTGAGACGGAGACCACCAGCCCCAACTGAAGCCGAATTACTTACGCCATTTTCTAGCCATTTCCCATGATGTAACCAATATGGAACCCGTGCCGAAACCCGATACCGGAAACAGTAACACTAAAGCGACTGCTGATAAGACAAATAAATCGAAGCTTACCTTCCACTACGGCAGCAGAACGCAGACCGACGACTGGCTGAAGAGTGACGATTTACCCATCGTGTTGAGGCGCCAGTTGGAGGAGCGGAACGGGCGCCAGTTGATGGACATTCAGCCGGAGAGCGAGTGTGAGAGCGAGAACGATGAGTTCAGCCACACCATCTGGGAAATGGAGAAGCCGTGCCAGACCCGAGACCCAGGCAAGAAGCGAAACGGTGCCAAAATAAGCTACATCCGGGTGACCAAGGGCAACAAGCGCGTCTGGGTCAAGGACAAGCAATCCAAGCTGCTCCAAAAGAAGCCATCTGCCATTGCGGAACCGCCGCCGACCAAGATTACGCGTCGCACCAAGCAGAAGGGAGAGCAGTTCCAGTGCAGCGACTGTGACAAAATCTTCAATCACTCCTGGATGCTGGTGGCCCACAAGCGCACTCACACGGGCGAGCGTCCGTTCGCCTGCCCCGAGCCAAAGTGCCAGAAGTCTTTCGCCGATCGGTAAATATACCAAGAACATTTTTAGGTTGAAATCTGTGACACTTGCAATTGCAGCTCCAATTTGCGCTCGCATCAGCGCACCAAGGGCCATCACACCTGGGACTATCAGTGCGGCCAGTGTGGCAAGTATTTCAATCAAGAGAACTTTCTGAAGCGTCACACACTGGACGCCTGTCGCAAGTATTTGCTGAACATAACACATAAGAAGCCATGAACGGTGGCATTAGGAATTTTATTGGGCAGCAATTTGAATGATTTTTTACATTTTACATTAGATTATAAAAACAATTTTTGTGCCATTAATATTTTACTCTCTATATGCTTTTTTGGCTGTGTACTTATTGTATTTATGGGAAGCCTTCAAAGATGATCTGCACATGATTGTCGAGGATGTAACTCAGGGGGACAATTTTGGGTATCCGAAAAATATCTGCAGTTCCATTAACTGAGGTGAAGCTATCGTGATGCCTGGAAAGCCCATAAACTGTTCCTTGTTCCTGCTCCTTCCTATCACTCCATCTAAACATTTAGCTGTTAACCAATAAATTAACCCATCTCAACTCTTATTGAAGCCCCTAACTTTTGCAAGGATTAACCAATTTGCAATGTGATATGTGGCTGCCCAAATTGTACCTGTTCCAGTGCCAATTCCAATTCCAGTTCATCACCTAACACCTAACTTCCATCCCATCCAGCTGCAATGAAGCCCATTCCATTTTAAGCAATGCCTGAACATCCATTTTCCAAAGGCCAGCCGCATCCACTTAACATTTCAAAGCAAAGCGCCTCAGCCTCAGCCTGGGCAAAATGCATTGGCCAAGTTTCAAGTGCGTGGCCCAGACAGACACACACACGCCCGATGCAATTTCGTTCAATGCAACTAAATTGGCTCATTAGCAAACAAAGTGAGAGGCGGCAGAGACAAAGAGCGGAGTGGCGCATGAGAATCGTTTTCTTTGAATCTGCTCCAGCTGCAACTCCACCTCGATTTTGCCAATGCTCAAAAGTTCGAAGTGCTGCGCTCCACGACTAAATCAAACAAAGGCAAAGGGCACTGTGCAAAAAAAATACCAAAAGACTCCTATCAAAGGAAAACAAAGCAGTCAAATTGGAATAAATTTGGGATTCTATTTGCTTTACTTTTCTCCCAGTGCAGCGTGTACATATGTGTGTGTGTGTGCGTGGCACCCAAAGTTTTGGCCACACGCACACTTCTCTGGACAATTAAAGATCAGGGTGAGAACGGTGGGGGGTGGTGCTTTGTGGGTGTGGAGACGACTTCGATTGCGGTTGCGCCTCGCCACAGTGTAAATCCCACATTTGGCGGCAGCAGCTGCACGGCCGTATGCAACGGTCGCAGTGCAAACAGTTCGATGCGACCAGGGCAGGGACGACGACTAATGCCTTAATTTATGGTCACCAGATAAACACGGAATGATTTAAGGTCTCAGCCTCCACCACTCCACTCCAGCTTCAGCTCCAGCTCCACCTCCGACTCGGACAATTGTAAAACGTGGTGTCCACTAAAATGCAATTACTTAAACGAAGCGAAACGAAGCGAAACGTACAATGGAATTCGGCCATAAATGTATCTGTTCCTTTTTTTTTTGTTTTATTTTCGAGTTTAAATATTTGATGAGCTCGCGCCACCTAATAAAATTGTAAAACACGAACATTTTATTGGGCAGAGACTCCAGCCAACTTCTTCAGCTGCTCCTTAGTTGCTTTTGGGCAACTTGTCGCTTTTATTGAACCCTCCTTGAGGGTGGCCTGGAAAGAGCCGGCTGGGGGCAAGTTGAGCTAAGTGAATTTTTACGCCACCCCGAGCGCAAGTCGCGTGCTGCTGCCACAAAAAAAAAACACACACTCCCAAAAAAAAGGAAGACTATAGTTTTGGGTGCGAAGTTTTTGATACCCTTTCCAATCCATCAATATGCTCGAATATATTTGATACAATTTTTTTTATTTTTATTTTTTTTATTGGAATATTTTCAGAAATTTTCAATATTTTATAAACTAAGCAACTTGTTTGCTATTTCTTGCCAATAGCTGAGAAAAGTCATGACACCCTCTGCAAGGGCATAGAAAGATGAGCAGCAGCCACTGCATTCAGCCACGGACTTGCTTTCTTGCTACTCTTGCTGCAGCAGCAGATGCCGAACGTATTTTTAAACTAATTTTCCAACTGGGAGCATTTCGATGGCATTTAACGTGCCAGCCATCAAGCGGGGCGAGCTGGTCATGGGGAAAGAACTGAAACTGAAGATAGAGCAAGAGCAGGAGCTGGAGCTGCGGCTGGGGCTGAGCGCTGAGGTCCAAGCCGGATCCGTGTGGCTAGTTGAGCCGTAAATTATTTTAGCGTTTCAATTTGGCCAGAAGGGTGACACCAGCTATTCGCTGAATGGGACCCCCAATAAAGAATATATACATAGATATGAAGCCTGCATCGCCTGCCTGCAAGTTACCCAAAATGAAGAGCAAATAAAGTTGGCTAATTCGATTTGATTTGCATTTAGTGTCTGCAGTTGAGCAGAGAAATTTCGGGGGGTGTTTAATGCTTAACTTAACTAAAATACAACTAAATTTGACTCCAGAAAGAGAGCCAAAATTTCACGAAATTTTAGTTAATTTTCTCCGTTTTTTACACATCTCTTCTTTCCATTTCAATATGGTCCCTAGACCCACACCAGGCAACTAAGTTATAGCCAACGAAGCACACTTCAACATTCCTCTGCATCACATTTAATTTTCATAATATTTTAATTATTGTAATCACATTAAATGCTTCACATTTTCGATGCTTATGGGTTCACTTTAATGTCTAATTAAATTGGACAGCTCCTTCACACTTTCAGTTTATAATTTCAAGTTTAAAATTTGTTAATTTATAAATGAATAAATTCACATTCATAACGAGTATTAGCCATTTTAGCTCATTAAAGTTCACTACTTTGGGACTCGGGGCTTGTTTAAGCCAGAGTTCTATTTAATTTTGCTTATTACCTGGGACTTCGCTCGCTCGTCTCCCAGCAGTTTACCTCTCCGTCAGGTGTATGAAAATGTCATTTATTAGCGCATCTCGTCCTGCCGCTGAGGGCCATCAAAAACCGCCGTGCAGCGCTAAATTTTGCAGGTCGTGAAAGGAAACGTCAGCGAAGATGCATAGCCAAGTTTTTGGCTAAATTTATGACCGTAAGCAACCAACAACAACACCCACACACAGATGTACATACAAATACAGATACATACATATGTACATATGTACATATAGCCGCGCATAGACACAGACATCACGTTCCCACTTTAAGCTCTATTTTAAGGTACTCGCCAGAAACTCATCAAACATTTTATTACTCGGCCATGGGACAAACTCGTTTAGGTTTCCATTTAAAGCACACAATTTAATATGAAAGAGGGCAGTAGGGAAAGGGAAATAAATAACATTAAATGCACGATTCATATAAATTAATGAAAGATATAACTTGCATATGTAAGTAATGTACAAATATTTGTTTGCTTATTTTTAAGTTTGTATAAAAATTAAAAAAATAAAGAAGAATTCTTTGCACAGCCGTTTAAAAGTTAAAAGTTTTTATTTCATCAAAATTCCGACTTATGCCGACTAGCGTACATTTCTTATCAACTTCCCTGTATATTTTCACGTCTGTTTACATTTGGCAATGCGAAAACCTGCTGTGGACCCATAACATACGGATGTAATTATTGTCTGTTAAGCACTATAAAATCTGTATTTGAACATTGCACAGCTTTTGCTTTAAAATTGAGCCTTCTATGTACATATATTAAAGTAATTGTATGAATAAATGCACATTTTGGCTTTAAAATTGCAAGTACTATTACATACATATGTTTATGATAAGCGTAATGAATCCTTAAAGATAAATGTCACACATGATGCTATATATATGAATACATAAATATGTATGCATGTATACTCTGACTTTAACCACTAACCTATGATTAAACATTTAATCTAGGCATTATAAATATACAACATTTTGAAGGGAATACTGCAAATAACAATGCGGAATAAAAGATAAGAACAGCGCCCCCCAAAGCCCTTCTTATCCACAGCTTGATGTGTGAATCACAGCAAGCAGTTCGTTTGGCGCCTAGCCCTGCACTTAGAGCACTGGCTCATGGGCGTCCGAGAGCAGCGGGGTATTGAGATAAGCATTTCGCACACTCGATCGTCGACACTCGCGGACACTCAGCCAGCAGTAGTAGAAGTGAACGAGCAGCATGGATATGAAGATAGGTGCACCGACAAAGTACACCATGCTGATTTGGCTATCACCCAGCGGCTCGGCGAATCTCATGGTGAAGGCCGCAACTGAAAGAGTTTTATGTAAAAACAACACGCGATATATTTATGTAATATATATTTTTTGTATATATATATATATTTTATGTATGTATATATTTATTTATTAATCTGTTACTTGATTTTTGCACTGTTGCATGCTCTGCAGCTTAGCGCTCGAAGTAGAAAAACAAAACAAACAAAAAAAATACGACCTTTGAGGCTTTGGATATAGACATAGATCTCTTGTGACAAATCTATGATCGATGCATAACCAAAGAACCCTCCACAAGGGCTAAGGATGAGAAGCATCCAAATGACAAAATGAAACACTCAAAAGAGAGTTAATCCAGCTCCAGCTGAGATGTTGCTTGCACTTAACACAGAGACACAGATTAAGTATAATTAGACTTTGGCCCTACCGGTTTGTATTTGCACGTGTTTTAGTTAGACTTCCAGCAGCAAATTAAATTTAAATTTCGATTCCGATGTTTAGTAAACCTCAGCCAGATTGTTGCAGTGAACCAGCTTGGTGTTGACGATGTGAGCGCAGCCCGGACTGGCCGACAGACGTGACAGGGTTTGATTTCTCTGCTGATTTCTCCGATTTCCTGATCGCAGCCGACGACGATCGCAAATGCACTGATACAAATGGCAGCCGTAGCAGACGAGCGTTAACGCAAATATCACGCCAAAGAGCAGTAGCAGCCAGGGGCTTATATTTGTAATGCGGTAATAATAAGCCAACAAGTGGAATTTCAACGACCAATCCATAACGAAACCGATGCTCAACTCGCCAGCGCACAAATGAAACTAAAACTGAAGAGAGAGAGAGAGCAAAGAACGGGAGGGATTCTTTTTGCGGTCAATTTGTGTGATACGAGTAAAATTTATCGCTTACGAATATACAGTGTATGTATGTATATATATTTAAGATCCATATGCTTATATTTGTGCATAACATAATTCAGCCAAGCAGTGCTTGAATGACTCATGTAAATCCCCATAGCATTATCATATTCATATATATTCTTTTTTTTCCCGTTCTGAGTCTGCTGCTGCTGATGACGATGCCAGGGGAGTTGAGACTTGACAGTGGCAGTGGGGAGTGCGAGTGGGGAAATGGCAAACAAAACTGCTAGACAAATACAACTGCTGCTCTGATCCTGGCTCTGCTCCAACTGGAGCGAGACGCAACTCAATTCAAACTTTGAAATTGTGCGTCGCCTGCGTTCACTGCCACTGACGTTTGATGCTTTATGATGGAGTAAAAAAAAACAACAACAACAACAACTACAACTACAACTGCAGACAGCCAGAGCGAGAGAGCGAGAGATATGTGCCAAATCCCAACAACAGCAGCAGCAACGCCGTGCCACCTCATATGATGAGCAAAGTTTTGGTTTAATTTAAAATTTGGCCGCAGAAAAATACAACCAGCATGCCAGTATACAGTATTTTTTCTTGTTTGGATTCCCACTGCACCCAACTTAAAGATGCCACAAAATTCGAGTAAATATTTCCAAAAAACTAAACTCCATTGAATATTCGGTTAGCCGAACAAAACAAAACGAAAAAAAAAACAAGAAACACAAACGAAAAGAAACAACGGCAAACAACGGGAAATAAGTTGCAGTTTGGGGCATTGAAAATCCTTTTGTATTGCTTAAAATTCTTTCTGTGAAATAAAATTGTTTTTGTGCCCAACTATGTGCGGATGCTGTGCTGTGGGGCAGTGGGGGGGGGATCGCTGGTCGCTGGTCGGAATAACTTTGAAAGCGTAACACACAACGCACACAGAATGGATATTTCTCATTCAATTTCGCAGGTGTTTGACTCCATATAGGAGCAAGCGTTTGTATCGAGTAGTGCGGAGTGTGGGGAGGAGCCTTTGTCGATGGAGACGTACGTGGTTCGGTTCATTTTCCGTGTTACCGTTTAAGCGGATTTTCATCCGATGCCTCCGAAATTTGGAATGTGGCAAAGCGAGAAAATCCAGAGGCTTTTGTGGTCGCTACAGGACATTGAGAATAGGTATAATGCCAGTTACTCGTAGTAATGTGACAATGCTGAAATTACTGCATTCGTTTTTGCTGATTGATTGAAACGCTCAATCATATTGCATTTCATTCGCCACACAAATGTGAGTTCATACGAAAAATGGATGGGAATTCACAAGCAACTTATCTGAAGTGAAAATATACATATGTACATACATGTTATATATGTACTGGCACATAGTTTGATTGTGCTTAAATTCATTGGGGTTTTTTCCTTTGTTTATAAATTTCTTAAAATACTTCATTCATGCTACAATCTTAAGCTCGAATCGGTGCATGGAAATTCTCCTTAGTTTGGCATTATATATGTGTATATATACATACATATGTATATACCCTTTTTATAGGCTCAGAAAACCAGCAAATATCAAAGTAAAGATACTCGATTGAAATGTATCCTAAAATTAAAATGAAAGTCTCTTCCAACACAAATTCAACTTTTTACATGCCCCTGGAGAGACATTCTAAGATTTTTAAAATATCATTTTTTCTCTATGTTCAATTTTAATAAAGTAAATTAAATTTAATATATTTAATGTAATATATTATTAAATCTTTATTTATTCTTAATTATTCTCATCAAATATATCTTCTCTTTAAGCGCTACATGAGTATGTGATACTACCCAGACTTCGCTTATCTTGAGTCTCGTATTTGTTGAGTGAATAAACTCTTATCTGAAGGCAGGGATAAGAAGATACTTCAGTATCTTTAAAGGTAAAGATAACAACTGCCCTTTCTCAATTTCCGAGGCTGTGAGGGAAGGTCGCAAAACATAAAAACAAATTTAAGTGTCACAGAAGTTCACAAAAATATATCCGGATTATTCAGCAGTTCTTTTTTAACTCGATACTCATATAAAAAGAAACCTTTTGCGTAAAACTAAAATAATACTTTTAACTTTTACTATAGAATGAGAACAGGGTGCCGTGAGTAAAGAGTGCATTTCCCACTATCCCCTTTGTCCTTACGTTTTATGGTTACTTTTCGTATTTGGACGCGCTTCGAGCTCTTCCCTACCACCTGTTTCGCTTATTAATGTGCAAATATGTAAAATGATTTCAAATGTGTTTAATGTGTGTAAAAGCCCGCATTTGATATTACATTTGATATTGGTTTGCTTTTTGTGGGAAGAATACGCATCCAAGCCTAACCTTAACCCCATCCATACCCTTAGCCCCCCCCCCCGCCCCCCTACCCCAATGCTTTAACTGCTTGGGCAAACGTGTTGCATATTTTGCGGCTGCAGCTGCCATTTGTTTGCCTTCCTTCACTGCACCCCACCCCGCTGTCTTTCCGCATTTTATGGAGCCAAAGCCACAGCCACAGATGCCACCCCACACCACCCCACCCCACCCGATGATGCTCGCGATAATGATGGTTGCCCACAGACACATTACCCCCTCCCCCGATCAGTGCACGCCTCTTTACACCTTGCACCCATCGGTAATTAGATGAGCGCGTTAAGTTCGTGTGTGCGAAATTAATTAAAACTTTCGCTGCTTAAAGTTGCCGCCAAAAAAGAGGAGCACAATAAACCTTAACTTTCATATGGGGCGTGAAAAGATGCAGCGGGCTGGGTTTGGGTGTTGCTGTTGTTGCTGGGAATCCCCGACAAATTGCCAAACACACAATGACGGGGGCACAAAGTCAAGTGCAAAAGTGGCAAGTACACAAGTTTGCCAGTCGCCTGGTTTCAAGTTGCCACAGTTGTAAGTTACAACATAAATCAGAAATAGTTTAGCCCCTGGCCCCCCCTATATGTCTATCTGTCTGTCTATTGTCTGCCTGATTGTCTATCATCGAAGGCCATCAGCCAGCAGACAGGACTCGAGTTCACTTTCAGCAGCAGCATCTCGCATGCGGATGTGACACTCACTTAAGCGCAGAGAATTACAAAAAAGAGAATAAATATATTTAAAAAATATATTTAATTATGTAAATTATATAAATACATATATATTTTTAATAATAAATAAATATTATATTTTATGTATTTATATTTATATATTGTGAATTATAAATAAATATTATATTTAAAGTATTTACATTTATATAATTTGAATTATTAAAATAAATAAATTGTTGGTTAAAAAAACTGTGGGACAAGGCTCACCGATATTTTTGGTGCTTACTCCCAAAGCGAGTGCTAAAATGTATAAAATAAAACTAGAACTGAATCCTTTATTTGCTCTCTAGTAAGCAAATGAAATCTAAAGATAATGCCATACCCGTGCTATACCAATTCCTGGTTGAGTTGTTGTGTTCTTTTATTTTCCTTTTCTTTTTTTTTTTTGCTATTTTGGTTGGGCATCCCTTTTGGCATTTTGCTTGTTTTCTTCGCTGTGCCTTGCCGCTGCCCCAACATGCTGCATATTTATGGCATGCCACAAACGTTTATCTAAACTACATAAAGCAATAAAAGTTAAAAGTCAAATAACTGTACTCCGCTTCCCTCAAACTTATCCATTCCCGCCCCTCCCCGCTGCTGTTGCTTGTTCGGTAGCTGTTGCTGTTATTGTCTTTGGGTGCTTTTGTGGCAAACAACTGAAACAGATGCCCCTGCAGGGGTGTGTGTGTGTGGGTGCATGGGGGATACTCTTCATCCTTGTAGCGGGCGCTGGGTCTGGGTCTGCCTTTTGGGAAACTACAGGAAGTTGCCGACAACCGGCAATGATGAGTCTGGTTATGGTTTTGGTTTTTGGTTTCGCTTCGTACACGAAAAGGTATATCTAAATTATGTTGCAATTGAAATATGAGAGAAACAAAGGAGCATCCGATACCCTTTATTACAGTGCCGAACAGGAACATTCTTCACCAGAGCTGTGACACTTGTAAGTCCTTAAAGTTATTGCTACAAATATATTATGCAGTAAAACTTTAAATATTTCCTTACCAGTTAAGAAAAAATTGAGGAATAGGTAGACCGAAAAAGAAAGGACCTGTAATAATTAGAAAAATTTAAATTCCCTCGTAAAAGGCCTATAATAATTTTAAATAAATTTTACACATATTTTAATTATTTTAAAATAATTTAGTCAGCTATTTTAATCATTTTTCAAAATATTTTCTATGTTCATACCATATAATATACCAATAGTTATCCCTCAGAAACCCTTCCCAATTATTTACCTGCGTACCATTTGCCAATAAACATTCTCAAGACGACCTTCACTTTGAAATATTAAACCTCGAAAAGTGAGTCTTCCCTGTGGCTGCTGTGGCACTCCACGTGCCAGCATCATGATATCCCTGTCGAGGATGCTGCAGCGCATTGGCATAGTCGTCGCGATGCTTTTGCTGCTGCAAGCATCGACGTTTTATGTATCTGTTTACACTTACAAGCTGTCGCTGCGAACTCTCTGGGATAGCCGTGCACTGTGCTGCCCGCCTGCCTGGAGTCTGGCATGGGGCCGGAGAGCCAGTACCGGAGAGCACTGGATCACTGCTTG